CTTGTTAATTTCCCCTTTTTTGACATAAGATTCATGTTCCTTGATACGAAACTTCAACGCTCTTTTTGTTTGGCCAATATATCTTAAACCACACTGACATGATATACTATAAATTCCCCAAGAATTAGATTTATTATAATTAATTATAATAAATTATCTTTTAATAATAGAACCAAGAATTAGATTTATTTATAACAGAATGCTGCGCTTAGATTCTTCGCTGCATAGATTATGCAATTCTCTGATGTTTTCTTGAGTTAAAATAGATCGCTGTGTACATGGAATCTTGCCAAATATTTTTGGTTAGAAACTTTACGTTTTTGCTATCTAAATTTTTTGTTTCGGATATCTGGCATAAATTGTGTGTTAAAAACGTTGTTTTTGCAGACATTTTAGGCTTAAAGTTCAAAATGCAAACAAAAAATTTAGATAGTAATATGGCGCCGTGGATTTTCTCGCCAAAAATGTTTAGCGAGACATTTGTCACCAACTGAGGGCATATACAAGAGTTGTTCCAAAAACTTCACATGGTAGAAGAAAAATTAACTAATGTTTTAAAATTTGCATACCTATTTAACAGCTCAAAAATTGAAGTGAACAGAAATTGTGTTACAAATTGTTCCCCAGTGCAGACTATATAATTGGAACTCTACATAATTTTCTTATATTTTGAATAATTTAGTAATGTCTGTCTCTTCCTGTCTCAGATTCCATCAAGTCAGCAGATATTAAAATAAATTTTGGTGTTTTCAATTTATCTGTACCTGGACAAAAGATAATTAATTGGTGAAATCCATGGCTATTTTTGTGCCTCACAGGTATTGTTCTGTTCGTAAATAATAATAAAAAAGCATTTTATACAAACAACATATTTTTGAGTAAAGTTAAAAAAGGAAAAATGCTAGTTACATATAAAGCAGGTATTCAGTGAAATGCCATCATGCACTCAACTAGTCTCATGACATTTTATGCAAAAAAACCTCTCAAATCTATCTTAGTCTAACATTCAAAAAGGATTATACATAAACATTCTGAGCCTATGCAACATTTGAATGTTTGGTTGGGTTTTTCACAAAGTCAGCTCCACGTGAGGAAGGATTAACTCACCATCATCTGTTCCTATACATGTTGCTAACTACTGGCAGTCGGTTTAAAAAAATTTCAATTTTTATGTGATTCTCTCTCTGAAGTCAGTAAGCATAAGCTCTGAAGTCATTTTATATGAATGTGCTTATCAGCTGTCAACATCAGAACTATATGGATTCAATCGTTTGTCTTCCATGCTTTGGGAGACGATATATTTTCTATAGATACAAAAGTAATAACAAAAGGCAGATCTACTCCACGTTCTTATTTGTAAATGCATTAAATATTACCCAATTATTCAGAAGTAGAATATTATATAATTTCAAAATGGTTAATGATATGGAACCTAAGAACTAATCAGTTTTGCTGGCATTGTGCTCTTTTTCAGATAAAATTATTTTAATTATTTATTTATTTGTTAAGGTATGATCACTTCTCTTTTTTATCCAATTTTCAGCAATTCAGAGCCTACAAGCCATTATTGTATATATCAGTCTTAAAATTTATCATTAATCTTGGTATTCAAAGCACAATAAACCTTGTTGTTATGACTACTCCTGAAAATGATCTGTATTTTTGAGTAAACACACTAGTATTGGATTTTACCTTTCTAAAATTATCTCTACCGCAGTTTGTGCACAGTCATCCTAGGATTGTAATTTCCTTCATATCAAATCAGCTTTGATAAAAAGGCATGGCCTGCCATCGATGTACATGTTTACACATGTACCTTGGCGGTTGATCTTTACATTATGGTAACTGGTAGTTTGGCGATATTTTGGAGGCGATAAAGGTTACTACCTGGGACTGGTAATAATGTGAGCAGTACTCAGTTCCGATTACGCATTATTTTGCGTGAGGGAAATGAGAGATCATGGGATATGTCATGTGATATTAATGGACGAATTACGGTTCTTTAATCGGAAAAGGGGGGGAAATCGGGAAAAAATGTGGAAATTTGTATTTAGATTTATTCTGTGTTTGTGTGAAACAGTGTTGTTTTAATTTTTGGATCCCATGGCCCTAACTAAAGTGAATTCGAAATGGGTATTTAGGCATTGTGATAAAGAGAAGTTTGCTTTTTATTTAGCGGAGGAAGGAGTATGGAGGAAATATTCGCAGAAAAAAATCTTTCAATAATTTTATTGAATGAATTAGAAAAAGTGTATCTGCCCGTAATCAAGATTCTGAAGAAGATTAGGTAAGTTAGTATTTTTAATTATTTGAGGATATTATTTTTATGCATTGTTCTAAATGTAAGGTGGAAAGGAATTTGGTATTATTGGGAAAATTGTTATTAGCAATAATTTTTAGTTTAAAGTAATTAGGATTGTAAGGTAATTTTTATAATTTAATGTATGTGCTCATTTATATTTTAAGTAGTGTTTTTTTGAATTTAATTATATTTTTAATGAAATGATAGTTATTTTGTGAATTTTATGTTTTTTTTTTTGTAGGAATTTGGTATACGTTTTAGTTGAAGTAACGTGCATGGAAATAATTTAAATATCTGACACTAAGTATTTGTAATGGTTGCGGTATGAATTCGTTGGTGACATTTCTAATATAATAGATGATTTAGAGGTAAAGTTTTTTGGATATTTTATTTATTTTATATGTGGAAATGTTCATATTTGGAAAGGGTGGGTAAACTTTTTCGCGATCAGGTAATTTCATATATGTTCTTTTTTACCGGGTTTAAAGATTGAGAAAATTGTCATGTATTTTCGTGAAATTTTTCTAATTTATGAGAAAAAAGCAGTGTACATGGATATAGTGAAGAGTGTGCGCAATGCCATTTTTGTGCAATTCTGGGATGTTTTTTTAAGTAAACATAAGTCGACGTGTACATGGTTTAGTGATATTTTAATTAAATGATAGTTATTTTGTGAATTTTATGTTTGTAGGAATTGTAGTGAAAATAAAAAAATTGTTAGTGAGGTCTGGATTTTAAATAATTTTGGATACTGGACGTCTGGATCTCAGACTTAGTACTGTATCAGCTACTTAATACTGTTTTGATACACTGGTATTCTTCTCTTAACATGACTAGATTCAGAAATGTATGTGTTCATGTATGCATGTATATAAGTATGTCCATATGTATGTGTATGTAAACAAACACAAATACACATACGTTTAAGTTGAAATAAACGTGCATGGAAATAATTTAAATATTTGATACTAAGTATTTGTAATGCTTGCGGTATGAATTTGTTGGTGATGTGTATAATGTAATAAATGATTTAGAGGTAAAAAGTTTTTGGATATTTTATTTATTTTATATGGGAAATGTTCATATTTGTAAAGGGTAAATACTTTTTCGCGATCAGGTAATTTCATATATGTTCTTTTTACCGGGTTTTAAAGATTGAGAAAATTGTCATGTATTTTCGTGAAATTTTCTAATTTATGAGAAAAAAGCAGTGTACATGGATATAGTGAAGAGTGTGCGCAATGCCATTTTTGTGCAATTCTGGGATGTTTTTTTAAGTAAAATAAGTCGTCGTGTACATGGTTTTATGTGTATGTGTTATTTTGAAAAACGCATAAGGAGTATGGTATTGTGCACTTTTTCCCAATTTTGCAGTGAATATTTGTCATGATTAAGCAGTTTTGTTTGATAAAATTCTAGCATAAGTGTAATTTGGCTAGTAGATTGTTGGAAAAGTGTTCAGTAGATAAAAAGAAAAGAAACATGTCTTATTGTCACATATATAATCGAAAATATGTCAAAAACTCACCAGTTCTACGGAATGTTGAAATAAGGGTTGCAGCTAATCAGATAGCACCTTCATTTAAAAAAAAAATATATATACATAAATTGCTGTTTGGATCAGAGAAAATATGGGTATTTCAGAGTGAAGAAATAAGTAACATATACTCAAATTGCATATACAGTACAAAATCCGAGATCCGGACTTCCGCGATTCTGAATATTAGATCATTAGTTTGAATTTAGTAAGATGGCATGTAGAAATTCTAAAATTAAAAATATGAAATTGTGATTTATGAAATAATGAAGCGTTTATGATCTAAAGGCTATCAAAATTTACAAAGAAAAACAAAATATTTATTTGTTTACTTAAGCATTTCTTTCAATGTAAGTTGGTTAAATTGCTCCATTTTTTGTGCTAATACTTTCTCTTTAATTCTGTAGACAGACATAATCTCTTATTCAATTATATTGTAGAAGTCCTGTAACTGCTGTGTCGAAAATTCTGACTAACTTGTAAATCAAAATTTTTTCGTTTTCAGTAACCTCTCTTTGTCACTTTCTTCACTATCGGTAGCGGTATTTTCTGGATCTAGAACAGTACTACAGATTTCGCCATCTGTTAATTGACGGATGATTATCCAAAAAACTTTAAAATTCACAATTATCATCAGAAAATTTAGCAATCATTCACTAGCTATTTGGCTATGTATCATGAGACTGGCACCGAGGGAATCAAATGTGCATGTGTAAAGCATATCCCCCCCCCAAAAAAAATAAAAAAACTGTTGGCGAGGTCTGGATTTTAGATCATTTTGGATACTGGACGTCTGGATCTCGGACTTTGTACTGTATCAGCTACTTAATACTGTTTTGATACACTGGTATTCTTCTCTTAACACGACTAGATTCAGAAATGTACGTGTTCATGTATGCATGTATATAAGTATGTCCATATGTATGTGTATGTAAACAAACACAAATACACACGTGCATGCATGCATACATACATTTTTGAATCTGGTCCTTATAACAAAAAAGTATTGATGCACCAATATATTCATTATTTCTTTATAATCCAAGTGCCAAAATAAAGAAAATATAAAAAATTATAGCTTTTGGCAACTATTTTTTTCAAATTAATATAGCATAAGTATTTGGTAATATATAATATATCTGTAAAACACAACAGCATATATATTTTTATATGATGATTAAATTTTATTCATCTAGATACATGAAGCCCACATGAACAAAATATACATTATGTGCATTTCAAAAACAAGATGTCTGTCTTAAACAAGGACTGAATTCTAAACCTCTACCAAGCTGCTTGCTTGCTTTTAAAATTTTAGATTCATTACTACTATGATACTCTTCTGTTATTGGGACCAAATTCAGAAATGTATGCATGAATTTATTTATCTATGAATGTGTTCATATATGCATGCATATATGTATTCGTGTACCGGATCCGATAAACAGAAGAGTGCCACTATCATTAATTAAATTCTTAAAAAATGCATAAGAACACTTTAAATTTTCACATTCTAAGAAATTCATTATTCTTATAAAAGTGTAAACATAACATTCACTAGTGCTTTAAATTTTTATTTTATCATATGCAAGACTTTTCGAGTGAAATGAGTGTTCATATGCCTTTTTAGAGAAGGTTTTCGTGCAAATTTCCTGCTGCATATGTTACACATATGAGGTTTCTCACCACTGTGAACAAGCATATGGAGTTTTTAAACTCTGCTTTACCCTAAATGACTGTTCACAAATGTTACACACATGAGGCTTTTCACCCGTATGGATGCGCATATGTGCTTCCAATATACGTTTCCTCAAAAATGATTTACTACACACATCACATTGATAAGGTTTATAACCTGTATGTATATACATATGTTCTTTTAAGTTACTATTAAAAGCAAATGACTTCTCACATATTTGGCAAACATAGGGTTTCTCTCCAGTGTGGGTACGCATATGTTTTCTTAGAGCATTCCGTGTGATAAATGGTCTATGGCAAATATCACATGTATAAGGTCTCTCTCCAGTGTGAATACGCATGTGTTCTTGGCAAAGTCGAAGTCTTCTAAACGATTTCTGACAAACATCACATGTATAAGGTTTCTCACCAGTGTGAATTTGCATGTGTTCTTGGTAAGATTGAACTCTTCCATATGATTTCTGACATACATCACATGTATAAGGCTTTTCACCAGTGTGAACACGCAAATGTTCCTTAAAAGAACATTCCTGTATATAAGATTTTTTACACACAGGACATGAAAAACTCCTCTCTTTTGTGTGTGTTTGCATATGAATCTTCAAGTTTTTTTGATTACACAATTTGCCACATATATCACATACGTATATCTTTTTATTCGCATGAGTAAGCTTATGCTGCTGTAATTTCTTATCAAGTGCAAATGCTTTGTTACATATATCACAAATGTAATTTTTTTCATTCATATGAATATACATATGTTCCTTTAAATAATATTTTTGTGTTAATACCTTATTACATATGGGACACACATGAGCTGAAATTTCACCTGTATGTGAATGTACATGTTGTCTAAATCTTCTAGCTCTCACAAATGACTGATTACATAAGTCACAGACATAAGGTTTTATCCCTGTATGAAAATACATATGCTCCTTTAAACTAGTCTTCTGTAAAAAAGACTTATCACAATTCTCACACTGAATTCTCTCTCCGTTATGAAGACGCATATGCCTTTGCAATCTATGATTCTTTAGAAATGATGAGTTACATATTTGACACGTAAAAGGTTTTACCATTGTGTGGGTAGGTATATGCCTTTTCAAGTTTTCTTCTTTTTCAAATTTTCTGCCACACATATCACATACATAACGTTTCTCCATTTTGTGCATCATCGTTCGCAAACGTAAGGCATAACTTTCTTGAAATGACTTACAAGTTTCACAACTACAAGTTATTTTGTTATGAAGATTATTCATACTTTCAATTTTCTTCAAATCACAGCATGAAGTGTCTGGTATGCAAATATAGGAAAATAACACTTCTTTGACTCCAATAGAACCAATATTTTATTCTTTACAAAGTTATAGATTCTTATTCATAAAACTTATTTACATTTTACATGCACGTTGAATCGCGTAACAGAAAAGCGAACTTTGCTTACTTCGTTCTTCGCGGAGATTAGAAAGTGTTGCCATTCCACTTTAACTAAATTTAATTAGAAACTTGAAGGAACTGAAGCGACACTACACACTCCCTTCCTAGAGACAGCGATTATGGAAGATAGTCTTTAAAGTGACTGGGGAAATTCACATGTCTGCGGTTCTAGTAGTCTTGGTTTCATGATGAGTTCGAATTTCTTCAGTGTTCTTGAGTGCAGGTGTTTTCCCAAATTCCGCTTTATTGGAATGGGAGTTTTTGAAAAAGGAATCAGAATCTGCACTAGGAAACATGGCTTTAGTTGTCTATTGAAACTCTTTTAACTTTTCCTTAGATTTCAGTATCGAAAAAGTACTATCCTTCTTGCTCTCTTACAGGATACGGTCCAAGATAGACAGGCTGTAGCGACGAATTATTAATGTTGTTGTATAGGAATACGTGAGAACAGTTGGAAAGATGTTTAGAACAAAGACTGTTCTATTTCCATGGGTGGTGGTAGAACTTGGCTTCAGATCTCTTATTATTTTTGAAGGTTTTGAGAAAATTCAGACTGTTTCATATAGATACTGTTGAAAAGAATTCACCCAGGTAATAATGCTAAAGGGTTTCCATATACAAGTTCTGCGGATGGCAACCTAAAGTCTTCCTTGATAATCAGATCGTATGCCTAAAAGAACGAAAGGCAATGCTTCCAGCCTGATTTGATTCGAGTAGATGGATTTGAGACTTGCTTTTAAAGTCGGTGTTTGTCTTTCGATCAGGCCATTTGCCTGTGGATGGTACGCGGTGTAGTTTGTATGAAAACTAGATATTTTCCAAAGCTTGAAAAAGTTGGCTATCAATTTCTGACTGGTCAGATGTTATGCGATCGGAATTCCAAAGCGTGAAAACCAAGTATAATCAAGTTTAGCAATTAGATTTGGATTGATCTTCTATCGGTACCGCTTCGATCCATCGTGTATAACGATCGATGATGGTTAGAAGATATTTGAACCTTTGCAAGGAGGTAGCGGGACCCACCAGAATCTATGTTAAATGCGGATCTGTGTGGAGGTACTTTGATTTCTCCCAAGATGGCTGTGTATGTTGTGAACTTAGATCTTTGACAAGATAAACATGCTCTAGCCCATAGTGGGCAGTCTTTATCATATTGGTTCATATGAAAGTCGTGTTTCATTTTATCGTGGATCTTATTCCAGGATGAGATAAATTAATGGATTGAAGAAATATTTTCTGCGGAACTTTGCAGGGATGTATGGTCATTGAATTTGTAGAGATAGTATCATAGTTAAATTTTCTTGTCGCGTCCGGTATAAGGATCTGTAGGATTTTTAAGTTTGGGTTGTTTTAAATATCTCAAGTCTTCATCTCTTGACAGTTTGCTATAGTTTGTAAGTCTATTGCGATGTACAGAAATGGTTGTCTATGCGAGAGGAGCGTCAGCGACGGTATTTTCAGCCCTTGTATTAATCGGATATCGGTTGAGAATGGCCAATAATGACGTTGCTAGCTTGTCTTGGCGAGTTTTTTCCAAAATTTTGTTGGAAGGCAATGTTAGTGGTTTGTGATCCGTATTGCAAAAGTTCGCCCTTCTAAGATATATTTGAAATATTTTACTGCTGTACAGATGGCTAAGAGTTCTCTGTGTAGGCACTATATTTTTGTTGTGTGATGTCAAATTTCGAGAAAAAGAAACTTAAGGGGTGGTCTTTCATTATTCACAATCTGATATAAAATGGCTCAATGGCGTATCGGAAGCATCAGTTGGTTAGCGATATTTCAGCCTTTTCGGATGGGTAAGTTAAGTTTGTGGCATGATAAGTGCATCTTTAAGATCTGGAAGGGTTCTTGTTTCTTGCCATCCAGGTTATTTTTTTCTGCAATTCTTGTTATACCCTGAGCAATGTTGTTAAAGGTTGTTGCAGTTTCGCACAATTTGGTTTGAATCTGTGATAAAAATTCACCATACCTAAAATCGTCTTAAACTAGTAAATGACTTTGTTCTGGGAAATTTTGATGGCATCAACTTTCGTTTGAAAGATTTTTTAAGTCCTACATCTTACTTCGCAGCCCCAGGAATGCAAGTTTGCTTGACCAAATTACACTTTGCCGCATAAACAGAGGCCAATTTCGTTAGTCTCTCGAGGGTGCTCGTATATGTTTTCGATGAGTTCTTCTTCATCTGGAGAGGGCTAATTAGAATGTCATCCAATAACAAAACACGAATTCTTGTCCATTCAACACACTGCTCATGAAACGTGGGACGTTTGGGCGCATTTCGTAGGCCGAAGGTCATGAATGGGAATCGAATAAGCCAAAGGGAGTGAGAAATGGCCGTTTTCGGATATCTTCTCGCGAACTGGAATTTGTTGGTAAGCTCTAATGAGGTCTATGGATGAGAAAAACTCTTTTTTTTCCAGCTAAAATGGAATGCAATCTGTTAAAAAGGGGAGAGGTATCTATCAGGAATCGTGACCTTGTTTAACGCTCCTCGATGTCTCCACAAGGTCTCCAATACTGGTTTCTTATAGCGAGAGTAAGTGGCTCGCCAGCACTTTTGGATGCCTGGAATTAAACCTATTTGGAGCATAAATTCAAACTTCTTTTTAGCCGCTTTGAGTTTCTCAGCTGATAGTTCCGGCTTTAAAACTGGTGACCTCGGTTTCGATATATGTTCGATGTTATGATTTTTTAACTTTATTATTACTACATTCAGTTTTAACAAATCCGAAATCGGCTAATGATCGTTTATGATCATTTACGGCATTTTAAAATCGGAATATTATAATTGTTATTTTGAAAAAAAGGAGTCCATTGGTTGTTAAAGGTAGTACCATCAAATCAACTTGCGACTTTTTAGAATCTACCAAAAGGTTAAAAATTTCAGAAATCCACCCCTTACGGTTGTTTATCTCCGAAATTACAAGGCCGTGTGAATGATCGTCTGAGTCCAAGATCAAGCTTGAGTAATTTTTGGCCATATGTTTTGATTTTCGTGCCGTTTGCAGCATTTGCAATTTGCAGCATCTAATTTTGAGATTTTTTTTATCTGAAGGTAAGGGAGGAATGACGTAAATTTCTGCCCCGGTATTTATTAAAAATTGGGTAGCCGATTCTTTGTCGCTGATGCGAAGACGACTCAGCTGCACCCCTTGTCCCTCCGTCGTCAATGAGAGACCGGGAGCTCATTTTCCGGGCTATTTGTCTGTGATTTTGATGAGTAGTAGCAGGGTTGTTTACGCTTAGTGACTTATTACGGATTTTTTTTAAGGTAGTAACAACTATCACTAGATCTGTTACCACTGTAGCTCCTATCTCTTGATTTGGATCAGCTACGACAATAGGGACGACTGACGTTGCTTAGATAAAGCAGAAACTTGTAAGGTAAGTTCACTAACCTATTTTTGAAAACTTTCAATCACTTCCGTTTTTACCGTATGGAGCAGCAGCTATTTGGGTTGTAACAGGGTTTAATTCCCAAATCTTATCGCCCATTATAGCCACTTTTGACAAATCTTCATCACTAACATATATATAATGCAACGCATATTAACGGGTAAACGTTGTAGCCACAATGTTTTTAGGAAAGTATCTGTTACTTTATCGCCCGCCAAATTACGCATCTCACACAGCAATTAGATGGCTTTTTGTCACCCAGTTCTAATTCCTCAGTAATTTTTGGGTTTTTTCGAAGTCTCTGAATCAGCATATATAATGAAATTTAGTATATTTAATTGCCTCATAATTATTATCCTGTGTGGACTTAACAAAATATCAGGTACCGTGACAAATATCGGGTTCAATGGAACTTATAACACATATTTTGTTTGATCTGCACTAATTTTTTCATTTCTAATTGTGCTTAGTTGAATAAACCATATTTAGGTTCTAGCTTCCAAAAGCAGGAACTTTAACGCTTACTTGGCGACAGACGCAATTGTTTTCCTCTTCGTCAGCCTTGTAGGATTCGATCACGCCGGGATACACAGTGAAGTGTCTGGTATGCAAATTAGAAAAAACACTCCTCTGACTCCAATAGACCAATATTTTATTCCTTACGAAGTTATAGATCCTTATTCATAAATTTATTTACATTTTACATGCAAGTTGAATCGCGTGACAGGAAACCGAACTTTGCTTACTTCGTTCTTCGCGGAGATTAGAAAGTGTTGCCATTCCACTTTAACTAAATTTAATTAGAAACTTGAAGGAACTGAAGCGACACTACACAGCATATATTTTTTTATTAGTCCACACAAAATATTTTAAGATATATAGGAAAACAGCATATGCAATAATAGGACAGTTTACCTGCTTTTTGGATTTAATATTCTTTTGATTTTCGGAAGAACTCAGACAAATGTTACACACAAACGGCTAAGTTCGGGAAATTTCATTTAGCACTTGAAAAAATTGGCATCCCTTTCTGCAAAATTTTTAAATGCATTAGGGAACATTCTTTTTGCATGTAAGATGACTAACAATGTTCGAGATGCTGTTTGAAAGTATTTTGGTACATTGAAACTACCACCAACACATGACACTACTTTAACCAATAAGATAAGTCTACTCCCTTATCTAAAATGGTCGGCGCTAAATCCCCAAACGCGCAGGGAGGTCACGTGACATCCGAACCACGTGTAAGATGAAGTCACATCAAAGTTACGCCCCTTACGCTCAGTAAATTTCTGCGCATAAATTGAAACATGCTTGTGCAATATGAATTTCAGAAGTAGAGAAAATTTTTCTGAAAATACTACAGATGCTAACTAAATACATACCAAATATTAACATTTTAGCATGTATAGCTTTCCAATATACTCTTGTGTTATTTTAAATCGCTAAGAATTATATGAGATTTCAGTTTTAAATTAATTCTGTTAATATTTACAATACATTTCATCTAATAATTAATGTTTTGTGCTTTAATTTCATCATTGTACCAGAAAAAAATTAATATTTGTTTCTGTATATATTATTCAAATGAATAATTAATGAATT